GTTGTTAGGGAGGAGACAGGTTGTTAGGGAGGAGACAGGTTGTTAGGGTGAAGATAGGTTGTTAGGTAGGAGATAGGTTGTTAGGGAGAAGACAGGTTGTTAGGGAGGAGACAGGTTGTTAGGGTGGAGACAGGTTGTTAGCGTAGAGACAGGTTGTAGTCTTGGGCATGGTGGTGAAGTCAGGAGCCCACGGTGAAAATAATCGCTCAAGTGTGCTGTCGGGGAGGTTGGCCTTTAGCGCCTTGGTCCCGCCTCTCGACTGTCAGTCAACTGGTGATTGCTGGCGTGATTTGGTAGACCTATGTCACGTAAGGTTGTGAAAATGGTATTAAAATTGAATTTATCTGACGTGTAGACTACAACCCATCCTCAAGTCGTCTTACAACCCATTACAACCCATCCTCATGTGGTGTTGTAACTACAACACCATGTCTCCGTAGACTCAAGCAGTGTTCATACTGTGAAATAAAGTTCGGGATTTACTCAAAAAGAAAGTATAATTTTTATGTAAGATAGTGTACGTAGCCCATGGATGAGACTATGTGTTGTGGGTTGGGTCACACTGTCAGAATTCGGCTCAAAAATCACGCTCAGGAGTCAAATTTCCGACATTTCAGATATTTTGAAAACTGCAGGGGGGTTTGGGCAAAATATGACCCTTCGCCGTTTTCAGTAATTGGCATATTTCCAGTGTAAAAAGTCGTAATTTGAAAATGAAAATAGGTGCAGAGAGTCAGAATTGGGTGGTTGTGGTCTGAGAGGCGTGTTGTCAGCAGAGGATGAAGGAAGGAAGAAATTATCAAGGGAAAGCACCAAGCCATTACGACTGTATAGCACTGGGAAGTGGTCAAGATAAGGATTTTGGATGGGACGGGGGGAAAGGAATGGTGCCCCAACCACTTGGACGGTCGGGGATTGAACGCCGATCTGCATGAAGCGAGACCGTCGCTCTACCGTCCAGCCCAAGTGGTTGGGTCAGCAGAGGATGAGAAAACCTCCTATGCCAACAGCCCAACCACTTGGGGTGGACGGTAGAGTGACGATCGACGCTTCATGCAGGTAGGCGTTCAATCCCCGACCAACCAAGTGTTTGGGCACCATTCCTTTCCTCCCCCGTCCCATCCCAAATCCTTATCCTGATCCCTTTAAGTGCTATATAGTCGTAATGGCTTGGTGCTGTCTGCTGATAGTTCCCTTCCTATGTTATCAGTTGCCAGTCTTGTGTAAAGCACATTTCCTTCATAAATTAATTAATAACTTCATTATTTAATCTAATCTAAGTTATCCACTCAAGCTAAGTTATCCACTTATTAACCTAAGGAGGGTTAATCTACGTTATCTGTTGACCAGACCACACACTAGAAGGTGAAGGGACGACGACGTTTCGGTCCGTCCTGGACCATTCTCAAGTCGATTGTGAATGATATATATATATATCTAAGTTATCCACTCAACCACTCTCAAAAATAGGCACATGGAAGATACGAATGGTCGAGAAACCTTCCTTAACCAACTTTGTACGAAATATACGAACCAAACTCCCCTAGATACGTAGATTTATATTCCTGAAAATCGAGGTAAAAATTGCTGGGCATGCAAGGAGTAAGTTGCAAATGGCAGACGATCTTCGCTCCGCCGCACCTCCGTCCACTGAACTTCACCTGACAAATGGGAGCATCTGTCAAGCAGTCAAAACTGAACATCGGGAAGCGCACGGTGTGAACAGCTTAAATGGCCCCATCGAATCAACAATCTCTGAGCACTCGACCACATAGATCCTTTGATCACAGTTAATAGTTACTTCAGTAATACTAGTATTTTACAGTATGATGATCATGCTCACTTTATAATGTTTTCATTATTAAATTATACTTGTCAAGGTATACTAGACTCAAATTGGAGTTCAAGATGGATGAAGGATTTTATCTCTGATCATGTCAAAGGCGTGATACAAAAGTATTTCGTTTTGTTTATAAATTGGTATCATTTGATATTTTAATTATGTGTATGATTACGTCAAGGCGAAGCCATTGGTCCATTTGAAAATTATATAAATTTATAGTTCGGTGTTAGGCCTACGAACCCCTTTGAAGGACTATTCTAGGCCTATTCACCAGCCAGCAAAGTATTCTCTAG